TAATATACTTTATTCATTTTCTTCTTAGGTTGCAAACATGTTAAAGGCATCCTGCTTTATGGGCCCCCAGGATGTGGTAAAACTCTTCTGGCTCGCCAGATTGGCAAGATGTTAAATGCGAGAGAGCCCAAGGTGGTCAATGGGCCAGAAATCCTTAATAAGTATGTGGGAGAGTCAGAGGCCAACATTCGTAAACTCTTTGCTGATGCTGAAGAGGAGCAGAGGAGGGTAATGTGAACTTAACTATCACTTTGTAATAGTATATTATCACTTGGATGATGAATGAAATCCAAATTTGTGGTGGAAAACATGTTACTGTGTTCGTATTTTGAAACTACTTGCTTGTAGAATTTATTTAGTACCTAGTTTTTGTATGGCACTAGACTAGAGATTATGGAGGATTTATATGATGTGAGCAGATGCAATACCCATGGATTCATAACACAAAAGTATTTTTTGCATAAGCCAAAGGATTTACAAACACAGATCATGACTAGCTTTTCCGATGACACTTCTATTCCACATTGCCTCCAGAGACTTGGACTCACTTATCCTCTGAAAAGAAAGAAATCAAATCCATAAGCAGACTTGCAGAATTATATGTCTTTAAGGCCCATGTGCGGAAAGTTCACTTACTTAACTGAGTCAGCTCAGTTGTAGAATGACAGGATTGAGTTGCCAGACATCAAACAAAATCTTGGTTTTGATTGGTTATGGGGGCCGGGGGATGGGGTGAAATGTAATAAAAAACCAAACCAGAGTTTACTGATATTAACATAACTATTTCGACGGCACATAACAACAACAACAACATTTCTTTGTCAGAAAGTTTAGAAACAGTGCCATAGAATTTCCAGTTCTGGCAGGTTGATAGACTGGGTAACCTGAAAACCTTCCTTTTACAAACATGCTAAAATACACCTAAAACGATCTTAAATGCAGTGTTGTGTTCTCAAGGAAGAAAGAGAAATCTCTGGAAATAAATAAAAAATTCTGAAAATAAGACTAAGAAGGATGTGAGCTGAAGGTCTTGGTAACTATGAAAGAAGCAGTTGCAGTGTGGGGATGGCCAAGTCTGACATCTATCCACTTTATAAAGGGGAATTGTCCCCCTCATTAATATCCATAGCACCATACTACCCCACGTGCTTCTGCACCTATTTCTGTGAATTATTGGGTCCAATGTTCATTGCATTTTGACTCACAGACTTTACCCACAGTTTTGAGGTTTTATTAGGGAAATAGGTTAGGGAGTAGGGATAGGCAGAGTATCACACAATGCAAGTCCAAGTGTAGTCCAGCAGCCCTAAGCCAGATTCACAGGGAAAGCCTGGGTTCAGTGCAGCAGCACAAATGCAACAAGCCTCTCGTTTCCACAGTCATCCAGCAAACTTTATCTAAAGCACTTACAAGATAGCTTTTCATTCAGTCATTCAGCAAGCAAAACCTTTAACTGTGGCTCCATCATCAGGGTTCCACTGGTTACACCATCCCACAGTCTCTTCATAGCAGTGCCACAGTCTCTTCACCCCCTCTTCACTACCATCTCTCACAGTATGTAAAGTGCTCTCTTACATTGGTCCCACAGCTTTTGATGATTTCCAGGATCATGTGTCCACAGTTAAGGTTGTTGTTGTTGTTATGTGCCGTCGAGTCATTTGCGACTCATAGCGACCCTATGCACAACAGCCCTAAACCCTGCTCTATCCTGCGCCAACCGCACCGCCTCTGACACACCCATCCCGATTACCCCAGTCCCTGAATCAATCCATCTCATAGAGGGTCTTCCCCTCCTGCGCTGTTCCTCCACCCTCCCAAGCATGATTTCCCTCTCCAAGGACCCGTCCCTCCTGGCAACATGTCCAAAGTATGTCAGACGAAGCCCCAGAATCCTTGCCTCCAAGGAATAACTTGGTTTAATCCTCTCCAAGATGAATCTGTTTGTTTTCCTGGCAGTCCATGGTACATTCAGTACCCTTCTCCAGCACCACAGCTCAAAGGCATCAACTCGCCTTCTGTCCTCCCTAGTCATTGTCCAACTCTCTGATGCATAACAAGCGATTGCAAAGACCATGGCCTATATCAGGCGCACCTTAGTCTCCAGAGAGACACCGTTGTTCCTGAGTACTTTAGAGAGGTCCCTAACAGCAGACTTTCCCATCGCGATACGCTTTTTGATTTCCTGACTGCTGGTGCCAAGAGTGTTGACTGTGGAGCCGAGCAAACTGAAGCTGTGAACAATCTCAGTCTGTTCGCCATCCATCCTGACGCTGCCAGTTGGTCCAATGGTGAGAATCTTTGTCTTCTTGACATTGAGCCTCAGTCCATACTGAAGGCTGCAGTCCTTGACCCTCCGCAGCAAGTTAAGGTTAAGCAAGCACAGTTAAGGTAGCTCCCAATTTAATATTACATTAGCAATAGATAGAAAAACCAATTTTCAAGGATTCTGACACTAAAGGAACTTAAGGGTTTGCTTTTTAATACCCACTGAGAACAGCAAATGATTCTTTGGATCCACTTATAATATGGACTAAGACATGTGACTTTCTAAGGGCAATGACTTCAATGCAAAGAATGGACTAGAATACCAATTAACATAGTTTAACACACAAATGCAGCCCTGGACATGCCACTAGGTTGTGCCAAGAAATCTGGAGGACAACTACCTGTCCACCTGATTGGAAGAGAGACATATTTATCCCCATTACAAAATAGATGATTCAATAGAGTGTGAAAATTATCAAACAATATCACTGATATCACACACAAGCAAGATACTGCTGAAAATTATCCAAAACTGAACAGTACGTCAGCAGAGAACTGCGAGATGTGCAAGTGGTGTTTATAAGACATTGTGGCAAAAGGGACATATTATAACCTATGTTCGATGGATCTCAGCTAAAAGCCGAGAGTACCAGAGGAATGTGTATCTGTGTTTCATTGACTGTGCAAAGGCATTGACTATGTAGATCATAACAAATTGTGACTAACCTTGAGAAGAATGGGAATCCCAGAACATTACAGATCATCCGGGAGGCTGGACTTTATGAGGAGGAATGTGGCATCAGGATTGGAGCAAGATTTATTTACAACCTGTGCAATGCAGATGACACAACCTTGCTTGCTGAAACTGAAAAGGACAGCATTTGCCGCAGAAGGTCAAGGACTTCAATATGGATTGAAGCTCAAAATCAAGAAAACAAAGATTTTCACCACTGGGCCAAGTGGCAGGTTCATGATAGATAGAGAACAGATTGAGATTGCTAACAGTTTCAGCTTGCTTTGTTCCACAGTCAACACTCTTGGTACCAGCAGCCAGGAAATCAAAAGACATATTGTACTGGGAAAATCCTCTGTCAAGGACCTCTCCAGAGTACTAAAGAGCAACAAAGTCAGTCTAAAGACTAAAGTGCACCTGATCCAAGCCATGGTCTTTGTAGTTACTTGCTATGCATCAGAGAACTGGACAGTAAATAAGGATGATAGAAGAAGAATCAATGCCTTTGAGCTGTGATGCTGAAGAAGAGTATTGAACATACTGTGTACTACCAAGAGAACAACCAGCTCTGTCCTGGAGAGGGTGAAACCAAGCTGCTCCTTGGAGGCAGGAATTTTGAAGCTCCATCTAACATACTTCAGGCAGATGGCCAGGAAGGACCAGTCTTTGAAGAAGGACATCATGCTTGGAAAGGTGGAGGGACAGCACAGGAGAGGAAAACCCCAGATGAGATGGATTGACACAGTGACTTGGGTAATAGGAGTAGGTATATCAGAGACTGTGAGATTGGCTCAGGATAGGACAGGATTCAGAGATGTTGTTCATAGGGTCGCTATGAATTGCAGGGGACTCAGTGGCACAAAACAACAGTGCAGAGACTTACAAAACATTTATCTACTGGGTTCTGAAGTGGGACCCAGGAGCACTCCCTTAGGGATTCTAAACTGTGGATTCTTTAATCATGCTGGTTTAGAACTGGAGTATAGACAACCTGTTTGCCCTGGAACCCCAAATTTAGAAATTAATTAAAAAATTAGCCCTGGGCTAATGGTCTCTTAGGGTTGTCAGATGTAAACAAATCCCAAGGGATACTCTACACTCCAGGCCAGAAGAGATTTACACAGAAATTTTGGTACACAAATGAAAGTAAAAATGACAGAATTCAGTCACATGTTCTTTTAGCAAAATGAGGTGATCCAGATTCTTTTCATTGTGTGTTGAAAATTTCCTATTACATAAATGCCATTTCTTCTTTTTTGTCCTTTGTTGTTGTTCTTATTGTGTACCATTGAGTTGAAACTCGTAGCTGACCCTCCATTGGGTTTTCTGAGACAGTAAATCGCATGGAAAGAGTTTGCCCATCCTTCTCTCGTGGAGCAGCTGGGGGTTCGAACTGCATGCCTTGAGAATTGTAGTGCAGCTTTTTACCACCAGACCACCAGTTTGCGGAAATGTATGTAGGATATCAACATCCAAAGTTACAGAATAGGAAGGTTTACTTGTGTGGTCAATTTCACCATCATCTTTGGGATCTTTTCTCCCCCCCGCCCCCGTATTTGGGATCTTGATGCTGCTATATCTGTGTTCATCTTCTGATTCATTTGGTAATTGTGGAATATCTTTCTCTTTCCTTTTTTCTTTCTTATTATGGGTGGGAAGTGAAATCTGATTCCTCAGCCATGTTCAGTGAAGTCTAAATTCAGGCGTCAGTTTCTCCAGATTCCCTGTATACTTGCCTGATAGTGCAATATCTTGAGTGAGCAACACAGTAAGAAAACAAAGATTATGTCACGGTGATGATTTATTTCATTAGTGGATTATCCTTAAAACAATTTTATCCTTTCATTGTCCTATTATTAATAATTAAAAACAAACTAAACCCATTGCAGCCAAGTCATTCCTACACCTAGCAATCCTAATGTAAGTTGGGAATCGTTGATGAACAATGATGAAATCAATTTTAGGATGATGACAGATAGAAACATATTTCAAGTTCTACATAAAATAAGCTCGCTGAGATCTCATCCTTCTCCTGAAAGCATTCTAGGGGTCTGGGGGGAGGGATGTTGCACTGCAGCCCCTCCTTGGTTCAAATCCATCAGTGGCTTCTTGGGAGAGAGGTGAGCAGTCTCCATTGCTATTTACAGCCTCAGAAACCCAGGGTGGGTAGCGGAGTAAATTCTTATTCTCAGCACTAAGGTAAAGATCTTGTAAATGTAGCTCAGATTTG